ATTAAGAACTTGAGGGGATTCATGAATCACTTTTGCAAGAAATGGTGTGAGCACTACTGCGATCGATGCCTGGCAGGACTTTCCTCGAAAAACTCCTACGACAAACACAGGCGTCTGTGCTTGACGCGCGCGGCTGCCGCAATTCGCACGCGCTGCCTAGCAAGTTTCTGGGGTGCAACCAAAGCATCATCCTTCACCAGCTTCATTCGCTTGGAAAAGTCAGTAGACTTAGATCTTCCGTACCTCACGCTCTTACCCAACGCGATATTGACGTCTGAGGCTTGATTTTGTCTTCTGTCCAAGTCCCGCGGCTCGATCGGCTAGACAATACGCTCACTGGGGATGAAGAATGGGTAGAGTACGTCAACCATATCCGCAAGCGTCAGAGACACAGCAAAGAGAAAAAGTCGGAACCCGAGTCGAAAGCTGATCTTCACCCAAAGAAAGTCATGACTTCACTTCGGCTAGATGTTCACGGAGTCATCCACTTCGAGCTGCAGCTGTGCAGGGCCACCATCACCGTTGCCTCGTGCTGCGATCTATTGGAGATACTCGCGGCCAAACTCGAAGAATAGCACCCACACAGAAAATTCAGTGCCTCAGTTCGATGTATTTTTCTCGCGAAAAATTCTGTGTTCCACGTGATGCGTCTTTATCACATTGAATTTTGGATGAATTTACCGTATCGAATTTGGAATGCGATACAAACACAATACATGGAGGATAACTTTTTTCTTGCCGAAAATGCATTAATTTGATTCTGCGCCAGGTATATTATGCACTTCTGCCGCATTGAACATGTCGTGGTGAACTTCAGCGACATCGAAATTTGCCTTGCATGTCCTGGATTTCGCCAAAAACGTTCATGCATTCTCCTCATTTGATGCACATGGCATGTCTGATGTAGGATCTACTTGAAATAGTTTCCAGCAGATGCAATAGGACCGCACTAGACCCTGGTTAATCTCAGGATTATTGAGCAATTAATAACATTGGAAATATGACGAAAAAGTGCAACCACGGATAACAACAAAAACCAACCATAGACATACAAATTAGAAGTTGCTCTGCAGGTGGGAGGAAACTCTTGAAAATTGAGCCCCCAAATGGTCATAATTCCCCTTGGTAGGACCAAAATAATGTGCGACTACAGCTCCAGCCATCCTACACCTACAGGCATGCCATGGGACTTACATAGTGCCTGGATTGCATATGTAACTTATCAGTAAGTAATTATACCATGAAGGGAGCTCACATTGAGCAAATGTAGCAAATGAAGCCATCGAGCCACATCCGACGAACCGATATTCCTACTCCCAATGGTCACATTAGTGTTCGAACCAAATATTACATATTCACGATGCATACTTTGAGTATCATAACAGTTTGAATACAGGAAGAAACTTTAAAGTAACACTGTATAATACGGTGTCAGCAGCGCTTTTTAAAAACTATTTTTCCAGTGTCGTTTCTGGGCAACATGGAAATCAAATCGTGGTCCACACATCTCAGCTGGCACTCTTGAAAAAGGTAACATGTGGAGGTGTCCATAAAATACAAAAGAAAACCATGTTTTCATTGGAACATGCGCAATTTTACCATGAAAATACAAGGCAGACGAAATTTCTTTTGGGGGGAATCTTCACGTCAACAGTGTAAGTTCATCATCATTCGCTCGTCGAATTCGTTTCGCCATACTTGCAGTTTGATAACGTATGCTTAGAAAAATCAATGATGATGCTCTAGGATGTCCCTTACGCTGATACGGAATGGTCATTTTCAGGATAGGACAGGAGTAGATACTTACCCTTTCGGCAGTTCGTTTGGATTTCACGTTCGAGCCGAAAAGGACGTCACTTCGGGAAACCCTCTTGTATGTCTTTTTCATATATTTTGTCACTCGGAAAACTCTCCTAATCTCCCTCTGTCTCTCACCCTTGCAGTCTCTAATGATTATTCCTCGATGCCGTACCCGGTAGCTGCAACCTTTCACATCCGCGACGGAAAGAACCAAGGAACAGCCTCGATATAAATTTCGTCGCTTATCCAGGCCTCCATCCGCGCCCATCCTCGCTCGCCATCACGATGAACGAACCCTCCACATTCGTCTCTCCGCTCTTCATTCTCCTTGCTTCCATTCCCGGCTTGACCTGGCAGAACCTGTGCCCGGATCCCGGTGACATCCTCCCCTGCACCTCCGCCGGAGCCGACGCGGACAACGTGATCGTGGACTGCTCTGCGGTCGCGTCGAGTGATCAGATTTTCTCCACTTTCAATGACGCGGTTTGGCCTCTTACCGATCTCGCGTGAATGTGAAAACTCGTTCCATGAGGTTATGTTGCTCATCCATCTGATTGTTGTCCTCGTGCTTTGCATTACGGCTTCAATAGAGTCAACGATAATTATTTTTCATGAAAGGAAAGCTTTAACGTTGGGACTCGCTGGCGGGAGGACACAGCTCATCAGTCTCTCTTCAGTGTGAAAATCACTTCACGCAACATAGTTTTCCCGAATTCCCGTCGTTCCCAATTCAACTTAAAATGGCATAACTTGAGCATGTGTCATTTTTTTAGCGTTTCCCAAAATGTATCTCCAGTAAGTAATATTACCGAAAGGGGTGCTACGTCCATAATTCCTAATAGTTGAAATTTATACCATTAGAGAGTGAAGGTTTACAGTTTCGGCTGAGACGCGAAAAAGCATTTATCTTAATGCAAATCATACAGACAGTTCGAGACGCAAATGAACGTTTGCACACATCCCCCTTTAATCTCCAGTCCTTCTTGAGTACTGCACTGGGAACCGAGACGTCCCGAACGTCCTACATTTGTACCTTTCATTGTACGTTTCGACTTACCTGTGTGCCTCGACTGGCACTAAAGAGCAAACCTTTGAGAATTACTGACACAGTAAAGCAGTTTCATGCACAACACATTGACCAAGAATGGGGAAGAATGTTAGAAAATAATGATGTTAATTGAATTGCCAGTGTCGTTGACACTCAGATTAACTCCGTTGCATTTGTACTTCAGGAGCGTAAGAAACAAATTGTTCGTAGTTACCTTCTCGACAGTGTGGAATGCCAGAATGAACGTGTTCGGGCAACGTAGACTATTCCCTGTAAGAACTTGAATCCATCCTTCAGAAAAGCAGAAATAGGTATTTACTTCGCTTCCCGACACAATATGTAGTGAAGCCGAAGCGTCCAGAAAAGAACGATCAAAAATGAAGACGAAAGCGCTTTTCTTGTCGTCCTTCTTCCAAGGAGTTCCGACTATACGAAAACCCGGCGGTGAAAGAGATCCCAGAAGGCGCGTTCGGCGAGATCTCCTTCAAGGTCATCGACCTCCAAGCGTCGGCCGTGGGCAGCGTGCACCCCTCGGCACACATCCCCTCCGGGGACCGCCTCCACACCCTGTTCGTCTGGTCCAGCGCCCTCGCGGAGTTCCCGTGGGACGCCCTGGAGCGACTGACGCGGCTGGAGGTCCTCTGGCTGGAAGCGAACGCCTTGACGACGTTGGGGTCCTTCCAGAGCTCCAGTCTTCAGATCCTCCAGGTTTCCGTCAATCAGATCGCCTCGTCGCAGGCTGGTTGTCAGTGCCTAAATAGAAGCAACGCTATGTCGGTGAGTCTCATGGCTTTTGATGCGGTCTCTACGTAATCCCTATAGGCAAAGGCTTCCAGTTCCCTAAGAGTGAGGAAAAAAAGTACAAATCTCTCCATTGAGTACTATAGTACTCAATGGAGAGATTTGTACTTTTTTGGGTCTTGAGAGCAATTTGAAATTGAGGCATCACTGCTTAAGTAATTTAATGTGAATCATAATTTCGACTGTTTTACGTTTCCAAGACGGAGGTATTCGTCTCATGCTCCGATGACGCGGATGGTATTCATCGGATTCACCTCCAGGTTGGAATCCGATGTCGGAAATCTTGCTTCGACGACCTGGAGACCTTTGAAGAATTTTCCTGTTCGAGATGCAGCCTGGGCTCGACCCTGTTCGACGGTTCATTCCAGCTTCGCAGTCAAAATGTCCAGTCCCTGTATTTAGATAATTTCATCGCAAGCCCGGAATCGCACGCAATCACAGGTACGAAATCTTACAAATAATTTATTACAATAAATAAATATATTAATTATTTATTTATCCTAAAAAGTCAAACGTCATTTACTGATTTCCTGTAATAGCTCTTCCAACAGCCCGCAAATAAATATAGAAAAGCTATATCCACGTATCAAAGGAGAGTTTCACTCGTCCATTCCAGGCTTCTCAGTCAACGCGTTCATCGGTCTGTCATTCAACGCAATCGCGGAGTTAAGGGAGGGGTCCTTCCGCCCGATGCTGGAGGTCGTGCCGCAGGGGAACTGTTACCTCTCTTTCTACGGTGAGTTTCCATCGTGGGGCGAATGCGGCTTGCTCCTCCGGTTTTTTTTCACCTGGGGATTCTGAAAACGAATGGAGTGTCGTGTGTGCATGCCATGCATTTCGTTCTTAAGAAGCTCCCATTTAGCTCTCATGCTTAACGGAATGCATGTCAAGTTAAATTATTATAAAAGCAGGCAAGTAGGTAAATACGAATCTAAGAAAGGTGCAAGAAAAAAAAATTACTAAAACGAAATCACGCATGCATCATTTTGGGAGCAAAAACATTAATTTACGGGAAAAGGTAAGTGTTATGCGACGAGCGCATTCACAACATCATTCACCAATTGGTCGGGCAGCCGTTCATGGCTCCGTCTCTTTTCTCCCGCTATTGGAAGCAGCTGACCCCGAACAGCAACTAAATGTTAACGGAGTCAACCGCGTGCACGAAGGAATAAAACTTGCCATCGATCATTCCAGCAAGCAGCAAGAAACATCCCACGCCTTTCATCCTTACTCATTCCAGCAAATCCGATCGCGTGCGACTGTAGCATGGACTGGATCGTCCTCCGCCCCGACTTCCTGCAGAGCGTGGAGGGCCACTGCACCGACGGGACGGAGTTCCACAACCTCGACCCCCAGGACTTCCTGGGCTGCCTCGCGATGTGACGCTAGCTCGATTGGAGGATTCCTGCTGGCTATAGGATGGACTCACCCCAAGTCTAGTGGTCATTTATGCGCAACATTTCCATTCCGTGCCTTTCGATGTTCCTTTTTTTTAAAAAGAAAAATGCATCCATGCCGCACATGAGTTATTTATTTCCTCACTTATCACATCAACTTCGCAGCAAATCATAGCAAGGCCAAGGTTTCCCGCCACCATGGTCGAACGCGGAATCCCATTCACCATGGAGAACTTGTGAAACCATATATCAAAAATATATCCGCGTCTCGATGCGAGACTCGCTCCCCCACCGCGGGGGTTCTGCAGGGCTCAGTAATAGCACCCATTCTTTTCATTCCCTACGTAAACGACCTCTCTAGCTCTCTCTCTCATAAACTTAACGTTCGTACGAGCCAATACGCGGACGATACCGCCCTGTGGCTCTCGGGCAGAG